GCGCCGCCATCGCAGAGGCCACGCTGCGCCACCTGGCGCAGCGCGTGCGCCCCCTCACCCTCTTCATCACGCAGTGAGCGGCGGCTGGCGGGCNTGCAGGCCGCCCCTGCCTGCCGCGCCTGCTCGCTGTCTGCGCGGTGCTGTGCTGGTGGTGCTGCCGGCGGCCTCGGCCCTGCCGGATAGCACGCTGCCTGGGCGGTGCCGGGGTCTGGCCTCCTGCTGCCGCCCACCCACCCTGCCTGCCGGTCTGCCCCGCCCCACCTCGCCCCCGCAGCTACCCCGACGTCTGCTTCCGCCTGCAGCAGGCGCTGCCAGAGGCGGTGGCCTGCTACCGCATGGCGCATGTGGAGGAGGAGGGGGAGCAGCAGCAGCCGGAGCAGCAGCCAGAGCAGCAGCAGCAGCCGGAGCAGCCGGAGCAGCAGGTGGGGCAGGAGCAGGAGCAGGAGCAGGAGCAGGAGCAGCGCCAGCGCCGGCGCCGGCAGGCGGCCCTGGGGCGTGTCGTGTTTCTGTTCAAGTTGGTGCCGGGCGTGGCCCCCGCCTCCTTTGGCATCAACGTCGCCCGCATGGCGCAGCTGCCAGACACCGTGCTGCAGCGGGCAGCCGAGGTGGCGGCGCGGGTGCAGGACAGCGCGGAGCGGCGGCGGCGGCAGCAGGCGGCGGCGGCGGCGGGCGGCGGCGGCGGCTGCGGTGGCGGCGCCGCCGAAGAGGAGCGGGCGGCGCAGCTGGCGCGGCAGTGCCGCCAGTTCCTGCAGCTCTCGCTGTCGGCGGGGCGCGTGGATGTGGAGGCTGGCCGCCAGCTGCAGCAGCAGGCGCGTGCGCTGCTGGCCGGCTGATGAACCATATGCGCATGGAGCGGCAGTTGCCTTGGACCGTGGCTGATGGCTGTTCATGCAGGGCAGTATTTGGTCATTTGCATGCCTCCAGTACTAGTGGTGCAGCCTGAAGGAAAGTGTAAGAGCCTGTGACGTGTTCAGCTGGCACGCCCACGTGGTGACCGGGCGGCGGCACCGCCAGCTCACCCTCCCAAAGACTTCATGGCGGTCAAACGCTCCGATCAGGACAGCCCATTCGCTCATGGCCTACTCCATCTTCCTCCGCAAAGCCCACTGTCTGCCACTAGCGCTCTCCACCATCGCGCCTCCTCAGTGTCCGCCCCCCAAACCAGCCTGCAGCGCGGGCGGCGATGAGTCCATTCATCCTGGGATTGACAGGAGGTGAGACAACGCGTCGGGAGTTCTGCCGCTGCACTGCTGCCGCCACCGCCCACTGCTCCGCCACTGCCGCCGCCTGCAGGTATAGCCATGGGCAAATCCACCGTTTGCGACTGGCTGCGGGAGCTTGGGGTGCCAGTGCTAGACTCGGACCAGGTGTGTGGTGCGCCGGGGGCGCTGTGCTGCCAGGGCTGCAGCTTGCAGGAGCGGGGCGGCCTCCCTGCTCCGCCCCTCGGTGCCCGTCCACTCCCGCTGCCCGGGCCCCCACACCCTGCTGCAGGTGGTGCACCAGCTGTACAACGGCGGCACAGCGGTGGCACCCGTGGAGGCGGCATTCCCGGGTGTTGCCATAGATGGAGGTGAGCGAGGAGGCGGGCTGGGCTGCGCATGTAGGGCACCCAGCAGCGCCTCGCCGGCTGCATGTGTTGCCCGCCTGTTGCGAGCCCCGTGCACAGCCACCCTTCGTCCCGCCATGCCTGGGCCTTGGCTGCTGATGTGCGCCCACCTGCCCTGCCCCCTCCCTCCCTGCGCCTGCGCCCGCCGCAGCCATCAGCCGCCCCGAGCTGAGCAAGCGGGTGGTGGGGGACCCCGAGGCGCTGCGCCGCCTGGAGGCGCTGGTCCACCCGCTGGTGGCGGCCGAGAAGCGGCGCTGGCTGGCGGCGCAGGCGGCGGCGGGGCAGGCGCTGGTGGTGCTGGACGTCCCGCTGCTGTTTGAGACGGGGGCGGAGGCGCAGTGTGATGCTGTGGCTGTGGTCAGCGCGCCGGCGGAGCAGCAGCGGCAGCGGGCGCTGGCGCGGCCGGGGATGAGCGAGGAGAAGCTGGGGGCCATGCTGCAGCGCCAGGTGGCGGACGCGGAGAAGCGGCGGCGACTTTGTCATAGACACGGTGAGAGGGGGTGGGCTGTAGGGGAGGGGCAGGTGTGATGAGGCGCATGAGGGGAGGCTGGGAGGCTGCTGCTGTGAGGTCGGCAGCCGCTGGAGTGAGGCAAGCCTGCGTCCCATGCACGCACGGGCTGCCGCCACTCCTCCCTGCCCGCCCCTTGCCCGCGCAGGGCGTGTCGCTGGAGGAGACGAGGCAGCACGTGGCGTCGGTGGTGGAGGCGCTGCGGGGGCGGCCCGGCAGGAAGTACGGCGAGCTGATGAGGGCAGCTGAGGGGTGAAGCCGTGGCGCGGCCAGCGAGTGCCCAGCTCCTCAATTTTAAACTGCCTTGCAAGCAACTTTTATAACATGGCCTTGTGCACAAATAACAGGGCATTGTGCACCCAAACCTTGCAGCTCGTGCAACCGTGCACACTCCCCGCATTTCTGACGGGGCTGACGCGCTCACAGTCTGCAGTCCAGGACCAGCCCCCGTCTGCGGCGCACCAGGTCGTACACGGCTCTGCAGTTGACAGACACTTCAACCGGCCAAGGATGTGCTGAATGAACAAACGGCATCGTGATGAACAGCTCCTGCAGTGCCAACAGCCAAAAGCAGGAGAGCCGGTCCATGTCCCGGAAAAGAAATGCAGCAGGCCTCCTCATGGCAGGGCAGGCAGACGGCACGGGTGCATTCACCGAGCTCACCAGTCGCGGCTGGTGCATGGGCGGCAGGAGCACACCGGCAAAGTCGATCCCGCACGCAGCAACCATGTGCATGCCGCCAGCCGGCCCGCCGGCAATGGCGCTGCACAGCAGGCGTGTCTCCGACTTGCTGCCGGGCAGCAGGCACAGCGGGTCTGGCCAGCTGCCCTGGCTGCCATCTGTCCTCTTGTAGGCGCCACCTGCCCTCATGTAGGTGAGCTGTGCAGTCAGCCGCTGCCGGCAGTAGGGACCCCAGCGCGCGCCGTCTGGGCGCAGGTCCAGTGCGGTGAGGAAGCCACACAGGGTGGCCAGGACAGCGCCTGGGATGGGCAGGGAACAGGCGAGAGGTGGGTTGCAACTCGATAATACAGCACAAGTGCATGCGCAGCAAACGGCGGCAGCAGATCTTCAACCTGCAAACAATGTAGCGCCAGCTAGTAGCAAAGCTCACCCTCTCTCCTGCCCAGATCGACTGCCTTGAACCCGTACGTCTGGGCCAACAGGCGCGGGTGGCCCTCCCCTATGTTCATTGATGGCATGTCGAGGGTATGGGTGTACACGCACTGCGTTGCGAAGCCGGCTCCAATGTCTGCAAGGAGAATCCATGGCATGGGGCAAGATGGGCAGGCAGGCGATGCCCCAGACTGGACGCCGCTAGCATGGCATGGTGCCGCCGCTGCTCACGCCTCTCAGAGTTCTGCCACGTAAACTGCAAGTCATCCGCCTTCAATCCCACTTCATAAACACTGTCTCTGCGGCCCTCTGCTTCGATGTACTCATGGGTTTTTCTGAAAGAAGCCCAAAGGCCGAACAGATTGGAGAGGGATGCTCCCCAGCGGGGGCCCTTGCTGTCCTGACCCGTGGCCATCGCGATAGGTTGCGTATTAAATATAAAAGCAGGAAATCGAGGACGATCAATCCGACAACCACGTTGAACTTTCAAGGGGACGACTGGTCGCTTTGCCCCATGTCGTGCGCAGCGTGCGCCCAGCGCCAGCTGCGGCCTCCTTGTTTTCTGACTGATAATTACAGATGGAGCATACATTGAGCAGGTGTGAGTGAAATTGCAGTGCAAAGAGGGCCCAGAAGAAGGTAATGAAAGGCGGCTGCGAAGGAATGCGCGTCGGCCGGCGTCACTCGTCCGTCGATGACGCCGCGCCGTTCAGCCACATGCCCATCCACCTGCACCCAGCGGCAGCACACATCCCCATCAGGCCTGCCGTCAAATCAATCGTGCATCGCACTGCTGCTACAGGGTGGGTGCCAGCGGAACGATGCGTCACACCACTGCTGCCGCCGCGGCCCACAAAACACTGCTGCCTCCGACCACCCAGCCACGGCCGGCCGCACCTGTCCATCTCATACAGGACGTGCATGATGCTCTCCCGGGCGCTGTAGCCGTGGCTCTCGTGAGGCAGCAGCACCAGGCGGGTGGTGCCGCCGTGGCCCTTGAGCGCCTGGTAGAATCGCTCGCTCTGCATGGGGAAGGTGCCTGCAGGCGGAGGCAGCGGGCCGGGGGGCAGGGGCAGGCAGCCAGCGTACAGCTCACGCCATAGCATGAAGCAGCTCGAGTGGCGGCGGCCCTCTGCTGCCAGCGGTTCCCCAAAACACCGCACTGCACGCTAGCTTAAGCAGCGCTCCAGCCCGACCAGGGCGGCGAGGGCGTCGCCCTGCCTGTGTTGTTGTCAGCCTCTCCGTGGATCAGCAGCAGCGGCTTCTGGATCTTGTCGGCGTTCATGAAGGGAGACATCTTGGAGTAGGTCTCGGGGGCCTGCGGGGCGGGGCAGGAGGGAGGGAGGAGGAGGAGGAGGTGGAAGAGGAGGCGGAGGAGGAGGGGAGGTGTCAGCGGGCGAGGCACTGCCAGCTGGCGCCGCAGCCAGCACACGCAGGGGTAAAGACTGATCGGTGCGTGCTGCCTGCCCCTGATGCTGCATCCTGCCGCCAGCCCAGCCTCTCAACGTCTCCCCAGCCCACCCGCCACCCCAGCCGGCATCCCCAGGGCGGGGCCACGCACCTGCCACAGGGTCCTCTCCTCGGCCTGGAACCCAAAGGGCGTGAGGGTGCGGTTGAAGGCGCCGGAGCGCGCGATGCCGCAAGCAAAGAGGTCCCCCGCATGAGCCAGGAGGTTAGCAGTCATGAACGCGCCTGCAAAAGGGTGAGGAAGTGTGTGTGTGAGTCAGTGTGTTGGGTTGCAGGCAGGACACGAGGAGTGGGATGTGCCCAACGTGCGGGTGAAGAGTGGGTGGGCAAGGGCATGCAGCCTTGCAAAGTGCGATGGGATGCAGAGGGCCAGGGCGCTGCAGCACCCGTCCCCGCTGCGGCACACCCACCGTACGAGTGGCCGCCGACGGCGATGCGCGAGGGGTCGGCCACGCCGCGCCGCTGCAGCTCCTCCACCGCCGCCCGCGCGCAGTCGGTCAGCTGCTCCACGTAGGTGCTGCAGCGGTACGGCAGGGCAGGCCGGCGGTACGTGTCTCAGTCTCGGCGTGCATGCAAGGCACGGCCGGCTTCCGTGCACACACACACCTCATGCCCCGTGTGCACACATTCGTCTCGGCTCCCACGTGCCAGGAACCTCCCCACCAGCCCAGCCAGGCAGCCAGGCACACTATTGCCCTGCTGGTTCCTCCGCTCACTCATTAGGCTCCTCCTCTCCCTCCGCCACGATGGGGAAGCCGGGACCGTCCAGTACCGCGTACTTCCTGGCCAGGAACAGCAGCGGCGAGGTGGAGCCGATGCCGGGGAAGGTGCAGGGGCTCTTGCGCATCTGGCCCGCCGCCTCCTTGTTCTTGTACTCCCGAGGGTACGCCCACAACAGCGTGGGCAGCGGGCCGTCGCGGGCGGGGTCGTAGCCTGTGGCATGGGCGCAGGCGGGCGGGCAGGCAGGGAGCTGGGGAGGCGGGCGCATGTGCTATGCAGCGGGGAGGTGGGCAGGCACCCCGGGCAGGCCCCCCACATGGCACCCCCGCCCCGCCCACCCCCCGCCCACACCTGGGGGCAGGTAGAGCGTGCCGTTCAGCTCCAGGCCGTCGGAGCGCTTGTAGCGGATGATGTCCTTTTGCAGGTGGCGCAGGGAGGGGTAGGGGTGGGGGAAGGCGGAGATGCAGCGTTCGCTGTGCTGCGCGCCGCCGGCGGTGAAGGTCTTGATGTAGAACTGGGGCGGCTCGGTGACCGACTCGCGGCTGGCCAGCACGCGTAGGTTGTCCTGCGGGGGCGGGAAGGGCAGGAAGGGCAGGGGGCATGAAGCAAGGGGAGCCGCGCCGCGTGGCCTGGCAGCCGCACGTGGCGCTGCATCATCGCCAGGTGAGCCGTCCAGGCAGAGCGCCCACAGGCACCTTGCACCTTTGGCCCGCCGGCTGTTCACTCCTTCGCAACCGCCGCCAGCAGGCCAAGGCCCCACACGCCCGCCCCCACCCAGACGCCAGGCACCCACCAGCGACACGGGGCGGCTGTCGTCCATGTCTGACAGAATGCTGGAGGTGTACTCGTAGTGGGGGGGCTGGCTCTGCCAGATGCGCCGCGCCTCCTTGCTGTCCACATCCAGCAGGTCCAGGAAGGGCCTGCGGGGGTACGGGGCAGGAGGGGAGGGAGAGGGCTGGACGGGGGGTGGCCGGCGCTGGTGCAGCCGTGCGGCTGCCGTCGCTGGGTCGGCGTGGCTCCCGCCGCCCGCAGCGTACCTGCCCTGCCTGCCCTGCGCGTCGCCCAGCCCAGCCCAGCCCAGCCCTGCCCAGCCCGCCCCAGCGCAGCCACAGGCGAGCCCCCACCTGTTGCCCTCTGGGCTGGCCCCAGACCCCTGCATGAGCAGCTTGCGCTCCCCCTCCACCAGCGCCAGCACATACGTGCCCCACTGGGTGCGCCGAGAGGCAGGAGAGCCGGGGTCGCTGTACGCGTCTGCAGTGGGGGCGGCGCACAGAGCAGGGCGTTGCGGGTGCGCGGGCCGCCATGCCACCCAGTTGTGGCGTGACCACAGGAGCGGCAGGGGAGGCTCCAGGCAGAGGAGGCAGCAACAGTGGCGGCCAATGGGGGAAGCAGGGTGACGCAGGGAGGCCAGGCTTGGAGCGTCCGGCGGCATGCGGCCTCCCTCCCTCCCTCCCTCCCTCCCTCCACCACCACCCACCTTCATACATGCGGTCAAACAGGACCGTCTTGGAGCCGCCCTCGGGCTCGTCAGGGGCGATGACCTGCGGGTGGGGAGGTGGGTGGGTGTGCGTGGCTGGAGGGCGGGAGCAGGGCGGCTCTCCGAGATGAAGGAGGGGTGTGGAAACGGGAGAGAACAGCTGCCAGCAGCTGCTGCAGCCACTTCCCCACACACCACCACCGCCACCACCCACCCATCACCACCAGCACCGCCACTACCGCCACCAGCCACCACCACCTTCCCAACACAGCACCCACAGCACCCACAGCACCCACCCACCCATGTCACGCTGCGCCGCGTCTTCCACTCCGCCTCGTACAGCAGCGCAAACTGCGCGGTGCCCCACGACACGCCACGGCACCGCATGTCGGTGCCGGCGATGGCGCGCGGCGCGGTGGCGGGGTCGCTCGCCGCGTCTGCGTCTGCGGGGCAGGCGCGCGCACGGCAGCGCGAGGGTGCCAGGGAAAAGGGTGGAGGGATCAAGGAACCGACCTGCTGCCAGGCTGGCCAGGGCCGCCAGGCAGCATCAAGAAAGCAGCCAGACGCTGCAAGCCAGCAGCCAGCAGCCGGCAGGCCCTCGCAGCGCACCCAGCACATAAACGATGTCGCGAGGCGAGGCTGCCACCGCGGGGTCGCCGCCATCCTGGCACTCCATCCAAGACATCTGCGAGTGGCGCCGGGACGGCAGGCCAGACAGCAGGTGAGGCACCTGCTGAGCTGTGCGTGTGGCGCTGGCAGCCACAGCGCTGGACAGCCGGGCCCCACAGGCTGCCGCTCTCCCCAGGGCGCCAGCCCCAATACAGGGCGGCCGCCACCTCCAGCCGCGTCGGTCCCACAGGCCGCACCTCTGCGGGCTTGTCGTCGCGCCACTCGATGCCGCGCGGCCCCTGCCGGCAGCTGTCGAACGCCACAGGTATGTCCTCCGCCAGCGGCAGAGCGGCTATCTCACGCACCAGCTCGCCCTCCCTGCACACACAAGCAGAGGTGGGGGGAGGTGGTCCGTCCAGCCACGCCACCGGCGCTGCCGCCCTGGCCCTGCTGTGCCGCCCCTCACCTCGTCCACAGCTGCACGCGCTTGGGGAAGCGGCCGCAGGGCAGGGAGTACGAGTAGGGGCGCTCCAGCCAGGAGACGAGCAGGTAGCGGCCGTCGGGGCTGGCTGAGGTGGCGGTGTAGAGGCGGGTGGGTCCGAGGTTGGCCACCTCCCCCGTGGACACCTTGACCGTCACCAGCTGGCTCTGGCAGTAGTGCTCAAACAGCTGCTCGTCGTACGGGCCTTGCAGCAGGTCCGGGTACGTGCGCGCCTGGCTCTTGCGCCCGCTGCTGTTGTCCTGCGGGGAGCAGGCGCAACGCGTGCGGCGGGAGGGTCAGCGGGGTGGTTATGCAGGCGGATGCACGCATGCTGCCAGGTGAAACCACCGGCTAGAGGGCACGCGCCTGCTGGTGCACCACTGTCCAGTATGCAGCGTTGGGAAGCAGGCGGGCCAGCAGCCAGGCCATGCAGGCATCAGGTTTTGTCGACTCCCATCCCAGCAGCCCCCACCCCCCAGCCCTACCTCTATCTTGGGGCCCAGCGGCGTGATGGGCTTGCGGGGCGCAGGGCCCAGCCCCGGCGGGATGACGGCGGCCACAATCGTATCGGCATCCACCCAGTCATAGCTGCAGGGGGGCCAGGTGGTGGGTTAGGGTGGGTTGGAGGGAGTGGATGGTGGTTGGAGCAGGGGAGAACAGACGCCGGGCCGCGGCGCACAGGCAAGACCAGCACCTAAGCACCCTGAGCAACCGCCACCTGCCCGCTCGGCCGCAACCCAGCCTGCAGGCCCTGGCCCATCCATGGCACAGCACCACACCACCACCACTCCATCACCCCCCCTCCCCAAGCATCCACCACACACACGCAGCCGCAGCTCACTCCTCAAAGGTGGAGTTGAGGCGCTGTTCCAGCAGCGGGCGCGCCATGCCGGTGCCGATGTCCGCCACCCACAGCTGCAGCGCCTCGCGCGGCGGGTCGGCGTCGCCGCCTGCGGAGCGCAGCGTGAAGGCCACCGTGCGGCTGTCGGGGCTCCACGTCACGTAGTTGATCTGCGGGCGCACGATGCGGCGCCGCAGCGGTGGTGGTTGGAGAGGGGCGGGGCAGGCCAGCACAGGGCAGCACGCGGCCCAGCAGCAGCCGGCCAGCCGACAGCGTCCTGCAACGGCCTCCCTTCCCATCCATACCATGGCCACACGTGTGCCCAGCATCGCCCCCCCACCCCCACCGCCCACCCACCCACCCACCCACCCAGTATCCGTCTGGTATGCCCGTGATGGTGTGCCCCGCGTCTGCCGGGATGGGCATGGTGAGGGCGTCAGTGAAGGGGGCGTACGTGATGGATGTGTAGTAAGACATGCGAGAGCGGGAGAAGCTCTCGGGGTCGATGCGGAGGCCTGCGGGGAGGTGGGTGGATGCAGGTGGGTAGGTGGGTGGGAAGAGATGGATGGTGGGTAGAGGGTGTGTGTGTGGGCCGGGTTCCCAGCGGTGGTAAGCTGATATGTGGCGAGGAGCCCGCCCTAGCGATGTTGCGCCACAGGCGGGTGCCGGCGGCAGTGGCAAGCTGCCATGTCCTTCACACCTCGTTGCCTCCCCCTGCCAATATCGCATCCCCTTGCCCGCTACCTCCTCCCCCTGCCCCCCCAAGCATGACCCACCTGCCAGCTTGAGCTCGGGGCGTGCGAGCTCGCTGACGGGAGGGTTGGCGGGCGGCCGCGCCAGCTGCAGCACCGTCTTGCGGTCGGGGGAGAAGGACAGGAGCGGCTCGGGAGGCGTGTCCACTATGGCAGCTATCTCTGGCGGCGGCAGGCGGTAGCCGCTGGTGGGCGGCACCGCCGTCTTGTTGGCTGCCACGGCCGCCGCGGCTGGCGAGGCAGCGGCGGTGGCCGCAGCGCCGACCGACTCTGAGGCTGAGGACTGCGGGGTGAGGCTGCTGAGCAGGCGGCCCAGCCGGGCGGTGGCCCGCTGCATCTCTGGAGAGCCGGGCGGCTGCATGGCGCCGGGGCGGGGCAGGTGGCGGGAGCGGCGGAAGAAACCTGAGCCCAGCTGTGCGGCGGCCGTGGCTGCTGTCACTCCGCGCTGCGTGACCATCCCCATGCTACAGCCCTAGGCTAGCCAGCTCGCGCGCAGTTGACTGCTGCACGATGGCGGTGCTACTTGTGGCCCACAACAGAGTGCTGAGCTATCCAGCCGATTTGTCTCAATCGACTTGGCCTCGCGATCGGCAAAATTTGTGATGGATTGATGGCGCGTTCGGGCAGTTTTGCTGCCTATATGTACTGTGCGACTGTACTGCGCCGGCAACGGTGCTGGCCTTGGGCCCCATCTCCTTTCTCATCTCCAGCCCTTCACGCATTATGCATGGTCCTGCAAGAAAATCCAATCCCCCTTGCTTGCCCCATGCACAGCAGCCAGGAGCAGCTTTTCTTGTGTGCCGCCTGTCGTGACCAGCACCGCCCAGGCAGCTGCCTTGCTACTGCGCACCGGAGCTGGCTGCTTTACAAGCTTGCTCACAGCCTGGAGCCCTGCCATTTGGCGCCGCCACTCAGCTGCTGGCGAGCGCCATAGGCATGCAGCGCCGCCTCCAGCAACCCGACTCGCACCGCCGCGGCTGCATCCTCGCCGCTGTCACGAGGCGCGGCGTCAGCCATGGGCACCACGCTGCCCCACCTGCCGCTGCCGTCGCTGCCGTCAGTCAGGCCGCAGCTGTGGGCAATCTGCCGGCGGAAGGGCGCGCTGAGCGGGCGGCGGGAGGCCAGAGCCAGCAGCAGCGGCGCCCCGCCACACTCGCGGCAGGCGCCTGCCAGCCGCCGAACGGCCGCCAGCGCCGCGGCATCCAGGCCCTCGCCATAGCTGCCGCTCAGCAGCTGGCGGTGGTCCAGCACCAGCACCACCATGTCTGGCGCCGGCAGGCTGCTCAGCACCGCGCGCCGCCGCCCGCGCAGCAGCAGCGCTCGGCGCCGGGCCGCCGAACCGGCGTGGGCCACGCTGCGGCGAACCCGTGCCGCTAGCCCCAGCTGCTGCAGCTCTGCAAGATCTTCGTCCTCTGCCTCCTCCAGCCCCTGCTCCCATCCCTCATCTGAATGCTCCTGCTCAGCCCCAGCACCCTGCCGCTGCTGTGTGGCTGCCCACCGCACCACCTCCCGTGCCGCCTCCACCTGCTGCTCCACTGCATCTGCACCACTGCCGCCGCCTGCCAACAAAAGAGGCGTGGCATCCAGCAGCAGCTGCCCCCGCAGCAGCACCGCAGGCAATGTGGGGCCCTGCTCGCTGCCAGCCAGCAGCCTGCCTCCTGTAGCCCAGCGCTGCCGCAGCCCTGCCAGCGCCGCGGCATAGGTCTGCCGCAGTCGGCGCAGCAGGGAGGGCTGCCGGGGTTGCAGGCCCCCCGCAGGCCCATCTGCGCCAGCAACTGGCAACGTGCTGCCAGTCGTTTCCCCGCTACTGCTGCCACCGCGTGCGCCCCCAGCTGCGCTGCGGCGCCAGGCCAAGCCGCTGCCCGCTGCTGCTGCAAGGCCATGCAGCGGTGCTGCCAGATGGGACAGGCTTGCCAGGCGCCGTGGCTGCTGCTGCTCTGGCCCTGCTGCTCCTGCTGCTGCTGCTGCTGACTTGAGTTGCCGGAAGGTGGCGGCTGCCAGCATTGGTTCCAGGCCCAGCAGCCACACCACCTGCGGCTGGAGCCGCACTGGGGCCTCCACCCTGGCGAAATCAGACAGCAGCATGAGTGTGCCCTCTGGCACAAGCAGCCGCCCTGCCTCCTCCTGCTGCTGAAGCTGCAGCTGTGCCAAAGCCGCTACCGGCGCAGCAAACTGCAGCAGCAAGCCGGGCTGGTGGAACTCGGTCTGCGCCTGTTGGTGATGCCTCCCCCTTCCCCAGCTGCCCACCCTGGCAGCGGCCTTGCGTAGGGCGCTGCTGGTAGCCACCAGTCTTCCGCCGCCAGTGCTGCCTCCTGCCATCTGATCCAGCAATTGCTGCCTGGCCAGGTTGGTGACTTGAGAGGCGGCCAACTGCGCTGCTCCGCCGCCAGGCAACCTCAGGAGTGCACCTGTGCAGCCCGCCAAGCCGTTGCCATGCACCACCACCACCACCACCACCGTGGGCGGCCGCCGCTGCTGCTGGTGCTGCTGCGGAGACACTCGCAGCTGTGGGGCTGCTGCTCCTGCCCACGATCCTGCTGCATGTCGGTGCAGCTGTGCAGGCTGGCGGGTAAGCATCGGCGCAGGCGGCAGGACGGGCAGGCGGACCTCTGCGCGCAGCACCACCATCGCTGGGGCAAGGTCACGTGCCAGCGCCACAGGTGCATCGTCAGCTTGCCTGCCTGCTTCACGCCCGGCTGCTGCCCAGCAGGCAGCCGCCAGGCGGGTGTGGTAGTGCTGCATGCTGTGCAGGCCCAGCAGCAGCTGCTGCACTTGCCGCGCCTGCTTAGGCTGCGGCTTTGGTGGCTGCCGTGGCCGCTCCTGTACACCAGTGGGGTCAATCATGGCAGTCGAGGCAGCTGCTGCTGCTGTGGCCTTGGCAGGCACCAAGCCATGGGACAGCAGCAAATGCTGCACGCCAATGTGGGCAAACGTGGGCAGCAGCGGAGGCGGCATCAGCCGGCCGGCACCTGCGGAGGCGAGGGATGTGCGCTAAGGCCGCGATGCATCTGCACTGCACTCACATCGCACGCCCCACTCCAACAGCAAGCGGGGCAAACCATGCTGGCCCCAGCATGCCCTCGCACCTGCACGCGCCGCCTGGACCGCGCCAGCTGCCACGCCCGCCACCGCTGCGAGCGGCTGCTGAGCCAGCAGCGCAGCAGCCGCGCGAGCTGCTTGCCCGCCACGCCAGCCAGCTGCGCCTGCACCTTGGCCTGGCTGGCTCGAAACTGCAGTCGACCCGCTGCTGCTGTTCCTGCTGCTGCTGTTGCAGCTGCTTTCGCCTTCAGACGACATTGCAGGCAACGGCGACTGCTGCTCTTCGACTGCTGCTGCCTCCAATGCCTCCTCCGCCGCCGCTGCCTGGCCTGCTGCTGGCGCAGCGCCCCAAGGCGCCTGTGCTTGCAAGAACAGGCGGGGTATAACATCCTCTGCAAGGCAATGCCAGCAAATGGAGGGTGGGGCACCAGGGTGGGCCAGCGTCTGTATGGCAGCCGTCGAGGAGCAGCACCGAGGCCTACTGCTGCTCATGAGAGGACGCTGGCAAAGCAGCTCGCTTGCGCACCTGGCAGCGCAACGCTGACGAAGAAGTCGTCCCAGCCCTGCTGGCGTACGTGGCTGGCCAGGGATGCATTGCCGATGGCCGGGCAGCCAAACACGATGCATCTCAGGGAGGTCGGGGGTGGCGGCGCGCCGCGCAGCAAGTGCAGCAGGCGCAGCGTGCACAGCTGGGCCACCGCTCCCCCCAGGGAGTGGCCTGCAGGAGACAGAGGGCAACTACTGTCAAGGTTGTGGCACATCTGCAGATGATGGAAATCGCTAGGGCCCCCGGCATGCTGCCGTCGAGCGTGGCTCCCCTTGCTGCTATGCCGCTGTTCGGGGGTGCAGCAGCCACTCACCGCACAGCACCAGGCGGACCCCCTGCTGCTGGGCATGGTCAAGCAGCAGCTCCGCCTGCACTGCCTGAGAGCGGGCCAGGAAGCCGCGGTGCACAGCCGGCGGTGGCGCAAGAGCGTCTGGCACTGCCTGCCCCAAAGCCGCTGCAGCTGCTCCGAGCTGCGCTGCCTCCTCGGCTGTGGTGGCGCCCACGCCGCTGCCTGCCGCTGCCACCACCTCGGCCTCTGCCCAGCGCAGGTTGGCGTCTGCCCAGTAGTCTCGGGGCTGCTTGGTGCCCATGAAAGCGCAGTACAGTGCCGATGTGGTGCGAGCCAGCATGTACCTGTGCGCTGCCGAGCGCCGACAGAACTGGACCGAGATCAATGGGGCGAGGCCGCCGGGGAATTGGCTGTGCAGATCATTCAGCGCTGCCACGGCAGCTGCCGGCGGCCCCTCGGCCGCCTTGTACACCGCTTCTGACAGCAGCAGGCAGGTGATCACATCCTGCACACAACAAGGGGAGGAGCTGGCTGGTGTATGCGTCGTCGTCGGCGGCCGCATTACAAGCAGTGCCAGGTGCCACCCTGCTGGCACCTGCAGCTGATCAGGAGGCAGCCCAAGTGCGTTGGGTGTCTCTCTGGAGGCTGGGCTGCCTCTCCGAAAGCTGGCCGACAGGCGATCGAGCAGCTCGACCATCTGCAGGCCCGTCTGCCATCCCTCGACATTCCCCAATGTGCCAATTGTGTGCCAGGCACCGTATTCCTATCCATTTTGGCCGACCTGCTGAGGCCTGCTGCGTATGTGGCACATGGTGCACCTTCCACCGCGTTAGGTCCGTTGGACGGGGCATCCTATCACATCCAGTTTCCTGTGGAGCGCCATCTGCAGCCTTTCTGGCTGCCTCCGCGAGCCTAGTCGGGCGCTGTGATCGGTGTGGCGAGGAACCCCAGCTCAAGGGCCCAGCTGCTTCCGCCACCTGATCTGGGGCTTCAGCAGGCAGCTCAGACATGGGGGCCAACCTCTCAACGCCGGAGAAAATTGCAAAGCTATGCCGCAGCGGTGATAGCGCAAACCTCCAGGTACCCCTGGGCGCAGCCAGCGTGTGTGGGGGTGGTGGCGGGCGCGCGCCTGGTGTGCCGAGAGTCTCATGTGCCACCGCCCTGGCCCCCGCCACCTGCCCGCCTGCCCGCCTTGTGGCTGCTCTCTAGCACATTCATTGCGGCTGCACTGTTGACCAGTGCATCTCCGTCCCCGCCTATGCCTCCACACCCTCGTCGTGCCGCCGCTGCCCCTCTCCCCGTCGCAGCTGCTGCTGACCGACCTGCAGCGCAACGATTCCCAGTTCCGAGCCAACCGCGCTCGCTACATCGAGGTCGCCGATGAGCACGGCAACACGCCGCTCACGTTGGCGGCGGCGCGCGGCCACCTGCCCTGCGTCAAGCTGGTGCGTGCGGCGGCGGCGCTGGCGCCGCGTGCGGGGCACCAGCGCTGCCGCTGAGCAGCATGCATCTCCGAAGCAGCGCAGCCGCTTGGGTAGGAGGGCAGGGGCAGGAGCAGCGCGGGCGCGCCGACGCCCCCTCGCCTGCGCGCCGTGCCTGTGCCGCAGCTGCTTCAATTCGGGGCCAACGTGCACCACGTCAACCAGAAGCCCGACGGCGGCAGCGCGCTGCACGAGGCGGTGGCCCACAAGCACGAGGCGGTGGTGGAGCTGCTGCTGAGGAGCGGCGCCAACCCGTTTGTGGAGAACTGCAAGGTGGGGGTCGCCGCCGCCGGGCACAGCACACCCGCGGGGCGGCCGGAGCGGCGCGGGGAGGCTGTGGAGGCAGGCTGTGGCAGGCAGGGGCGTCTTGTTTCGCTACCTGGTGTGCCTGGCTGGCAGGGCGTGCAGCGCACCCCTCTGTTTCCAGTCATGGATCTGCCGCAACCCCAAACGCGCAC